GTTCTGAAGGCAAAAGGGGGTCCAACCCGTTACTAGCATGGTGTACCTAATAAAGTGGCCGGTGAGTGTATATATTTCATTTAGAGCCAAACGTCTTGACACATGAATGATTAAAATAACAAAGTATTCAGAAGTAGTAAGTATACAGAAACGGAAACAAAAAAAAAGCTGAATCAGCATGCGCACAATAAAACATTTTTCTTCCTTTTTTTAATTTGTTTTGTTTGTTTTTTTAGGCCACGACTCGGAACTGTGATGCACAGAGTTGTGGGTCTCGGTTTTTTGTACTTTGCCTTTGCCAGCATCGAAGGCATCCTGAGGATTACAGGGGTGAGTTTTTGCAGAGAGTTGTTTTTCTCACTTAGATTATATCCTAAATAACATCAGTAAGTTCTGTATTTTATTACAATGTTTTCGTTTGATGCTTTAATTTCTCAACTTAAAGAACTTATAATCAGCTGGTGTTTGTAGGGCTGCCACAAACGAATATTTTTATAATCTATTAATCACCGATTATTTTTTTTAAATTAGTCGACTAATCAGATCATATGTTAATTGAATATAAAACATACAGCTTATCACTCCAGAATACAGCTGCTATTATATAACCATCGTTAGATGTTAGCTATATGCTAACTAAAAATAACTGCCATGGAAGGCAAGTTCTGCTCTGCAGATATTGCACAGGTTTCTCTTTCATTTTCTTAAAACGATCCCACACTTTTGAGTCGTTGACTAGTCGACTAATCATGGCAGCCCCAGTTGTTTGGCAAATATAAAAGAATTAATAAAGACTAAGAAGCTGTTTTTTCTGCTACTTGTTTTAAACACTAAGAAAATTCTTTAGGCTTTTTTTGTTTGTTTGTTTGATTGTGTGTATTGATATTTGTGTGTATTTTTGTTTATGGAATACAAACCCAAGGGCCGAGACAATAGTCCAGCGCTCATTACAGCTATTGTTCTGGCTGTGTTTGATTCCTGCACCATCTGGTTCATATCCTTCCAGTGTATAAATCAGCTGTAATAATCAGGAGTTATTAGTGAAACAGTATTCGTGTACTGAGCCATGTGTTTGTGGGACATTCTGGTCTTTGGGAATTAACAGTGTGGTGTTTTATTTATTTATTTATTTAATTATTTTTTTTGGCACTTGGTTAAATGTTGGTGTATTTTATTCACTGTATTGCCTTCCTTATCACCGATCCTCTCTTATTGTTTTTTTTTTTGTGTGTGTCACTTCAGTAGAAAACAAAACCAAATATTAGTTTATTTAGTTTATTTATTTCTTCATCATCAGTGACTTTTTATTTTTTTATAAGTGAAGAGAAAATAGAGACAGAGAGAAAAACAGAGAAGTAATTAGAAAGATTGAAATAGCGATTAGAAGTATATTAAATAAACACCAAGAAAACACAGGACCACACAGCCAACATCTGTCTGCTCACCTGATCCTCTTATTGTTTCCCCTCATCTCGCTCCTTGTCTTTGTGTCCTTTGTTCCTGCGCTGTGGTCCTCTCCAGACAAAAGACTCTGACTTGTCCCTGCTGGCCAACATTCCCCTGGCTCTGCTTGATTCCTCTCTATGCTGGTGGATATCCTTTGGTGCACGTGCAACCTTTCCTTGTGTGGTTCCTATTTGCTCCTCACTCTCTGTAACGAAGCGGTACGGTTCAGTTTACCAGCGTTTTGAATCCTGAGGACTCTTCTGTTATAGTGTCTGTTTTTCTTTGACTGCCATTAACATCTTTGTCAGCTTGGCCCAAACCATCAAAACCTTGAAACTGAGGAGAAACCCCGTGAAACTGTCGCTCTACAGGCACTTCACCAACACTTTAATATTCGCTGTCCTTGGTAGGTCCTCTGATGTGCTTTCTCTTGTAATTCTGTTATATTAGAATACACCAGTCAGCCATAATGTTATGGTTAAGTTTCTAATATTTAAAAAGGGAGAAAAACAACAAGTCTTGAGCGTTTCCTGTTTGCCTGTGTTAAACAAAAAGAAAAAAGTAAGGTTGTTTTGGCAGCAAAAAGCTGTAAGTGGTTTGAATAGGAAAGCTGGAGGAGTGTTTCACCACATAACAGGTTTATTTGCAGCAGGTCAGTGAGAAGACTGGGTATAAAAATAGCTTTTTAGAGGAGCTAAGTAAAAATGGGCAGAAGTTCAGTGTAAAGAGAGACTATTTATTTGGAAAACCAGTTTTAATTTGCCAACAAATGGCCACTTTAAAAAAAAGTCAAGTCTAATAAATCAAGTAGCACAATGAAGTTGCAATGATTCAACAGCAACTAGTACAGCCAGCTTACTATAATCCTTCATTGATTTAAATATTTTTGATCAAAAATTAGCCTGGCCCTTTCCTTCCTACGTAGTTCCGCTCAATTCTAGTTTCCCTTCACTGCTCCGGCTGGGATTTCTCCCATAGACAAGGATTTCTTCAGGAGCATTTCAGTCGGGCCAATCAGAGAACAGAAGGCGGAGTTTTGAACGACGCAGATTTTTGCGCAGTGTCTGCTAGTTAGTTTAGCATACGGCAGCGGAGGAAGTGAATGAAGCCAGTTCGTGTTGATAAGGCTTCCAAATTAAAATAAATTTGTCTGACAAAGCCTGCAGCTCTCGTTCAGCTCGGTACCTCTCTCCTCTCAGTAGGCGTTTAAGTGCGGCTCTACTCCGTTCTAGGTGATTTTCCACGGTAACTTGTGTCTCCACTCTGTGTAACGTCTTTTAAAAGTGGGTCGCTGAAGTAGCTGTTTAACGTTGTTCATTCTGTGCTACAGCTAACTGTTGACTTTAAAAAGTCTCTTATTTAGTCTGTAAATACTGCTACAGCAAACAGTTGCTTATAAATGCAATAAAACAAAACCAAAGTGATTTTCTTATAAATGAACTTACACCTACTGCACACTTTATGCCTAGGAGTGTGAGTAAATATGTTGGTCTTTTTCCTAATGGATTTAACTCAATGAAAAACAGCAATGCCGATAATATCTTTATTGCACAAAATAAAAGTCAGAAAATATATAACTACATTTAAAAAACTACTTTAAAGTCCAAATTTACTGGGAGCAGCTCTCCTGTAGCTGCCCAGCCCCTGGCCGATTCAACCCAGATAGTGAGGCAGCCGGTACCGATCGATGTCGGAGAAGGTGGACCAGCGGTCCGGGAGCTCAGCTGGTCACTTGTCGAAGGTGACTCTGAACAAAAAAAATCAACCATTAACCTCGAATATGGTCAACATTAATAATGAATAACAATAAATGTAAAGCTGGGGGTGTTGTTTTTATCCTGGATCACTAACGAGCGATAACCGCTAGCTGCTAACTAGTTAGCATTGGAAACGAACATGCACAAAGGACACATCGGTACAAACTTTAAAAAGTAAAAGTACAGTTTGACAAGTGAGACGTGTCCCACAAATTATGTTCAATATCTCATTAAATGCATGAAGCACTCACCGTCTGCAGATGTCTCTGACGTTTGTCGCTTCTCTATAGCCGAGAGTCCGGACCCTCGTCCTTCRCTTCGCTTCGYACAAGGGGCTGGTTTTAACCAGGCTAATCAAGAAGGCTCTTCTGTGTGTTATTTTAAGTGAACAAGTTCTTCTACGGGTTGTTAAATGTAAGTTTATTTCACTCAAGCAATTATTACTGGGGATGGGGTTAATTAGTTAAATGAAAAATACAAAAATAAAAGAATCTGTGTTGCGTATCGGACCTCGGCTGCCCTCAAATAGAGTGTTAAAGAATGATGAGCAGGTTTGCTCCTTTAATATGTGTGGTCATAATGTTATGGCTGATTAGAGTACATGCATGGTAATTCTTGGGTTGTTTTTTTTTCCACCTGCTTTTAACCTGAAATAATGACATTTCGTTCCCTTTCTCCTCCAGCTTCTATCATTTTCATGGTTTGGTCTGCGAAAAAGTTACATTTAGCTGATTGTCAGTCTGTAAGTATTGTTTTCATATTCTAAAGACATGCAGTTGTGTTAAAGAAAATGGATATTTTTGGGATAACAGGACGTTTCTGTGTTTCAAAAGGACTGGGTGGAGCTTTGGGTAGACGATGCTTTCTGGAGGTTTTTGTTCTCCGCCGTTCTTCTCGTCATAATGTTTTTATGGCGACCGTCCGCAAACAACCAAAGGTGAGCAGACCGACGGTCAAACTGAGCACCTTTAACTAAGTCAGCCGCTGAATTATTGATGTGAGCTTCGTGTCCGCAGGTATGCGTTTACACCTCTCATGGACGACTCGGACGACGAGGAGATTGAAGAGTTTACAGCCTCTGCAAACCTCGGTACAAAATGACCCAAGAAACCTTGTTCTTTTTGCTGTTTTAGTTTTGTTTGCTTTTTTGTAATCGTTTATTCTTCTTGATGTTTCAGCTGATGGTATAAAGTTAAGAGCAGCTAAAAGTGAGACAAATGGCACAGCCAAACCTCCAGAAACAAATGCAGTAAGCAACACAACTACATCCTTGTAGATAAATCATCATGTATTATGATTGAAGGGCAAATGGAAGCAGCTAAGTTCAGAAAATAAATCAGTCCAAATGTCTCCTTTCAGCAGGTGGCAGTATTTACTCTGATTTTTTTTGTCTCTATTCATTCAGGATGAAGAATTAAAATGGGTGGAGGACAACATTCCTAGCTCTCTTACTGATGTGTAAGCATCCTTTTAAAACTTATTGAATCGGTGTTTTCCTATAAAACATTAGAAAATAACAGAGCCTCTCTTTCTTTTATCACCACAGAGCTCTACCTGTCCTGCTCGACTCAGATGAGGTACGAATTCCACTTCTGCTTTTCTTTATAAAAGCCTTTTAAACTCAAAGGGCTAAATTAGAGTGCAATTCTTATATTCAGTCATTAATTCAGAGTAAAATGGGACTAAAACGATAATGAAATTAACAGCTAAGAAGTAAGGAAGAATAAAAATCTGTTTAATAACAATTTAAAAGCAGCTAAGACTGATTCCTTTGCTGATCTGCAGACCACTGAGAACGGGCAGGTGTGTAAGGGTGTAGCAGCTCAGAAAAGTAAAAACTATTCAAAGATTTGAAGGATAATCTAGAGAAGTTGCTGAAAAAGCAGCAAAATTGAGCTCAAAATAATTAAAATTGAGTAAAACATGCTAAACGAGGCTAAAAGTAGCAGAAACGGGATAAAATTAGCAGACGAGTGTAAAAACATTTGAATGGGCAGAAAATCAAGAAAAGTAGTTAAAAAAATTATTATTTTTTATAAAACAGACAAAAATAGCACTAAAAAAAGCTCAAATTTAGATGAAAATTATGAGATTAGGAAAAAGACTGATGGAGCATGTGTTTACTGAGGATCACAAAAAGGTGAATTTTACTGAAAAATAGCTCAAATTAGCTGAAAAGACAGAAAAAACAGAAAACAGCTGATATTACAGCACAACAAAGTTTAAATTAGCAGAAGAATATCAGAAAAAAATCGGAATAAGCTAAAAAGGCAGAAAAAAAGCTAAAATCATCAAAGTAGAAGCTGAAGGAAGCTGAAATGAGCACAAAGTAAAAAGAAAAAGTCGAACCAGAACAAAAGATTTCTGAATATTTTGAAGGGTTTTAAGGATGCTGAAGACAGGACCACTCATTTKTAGTGAGAAAAAGAAAAAAGTAATTGCTGGATTGTCCTGAAAGAGCTGACCATTTTGATGTATAAATTGTTGAAACAACACAAACATTGCTGAATGACAGTATTTGCTGAAAAACGTATGGAAGAAAATATGATGTGAATTGTGTGAATGATCTCAAACATTCATATAATAAAAGAATCTTAAAATGGATCGTCAGCCAATGGAGAGGTTTTAAACCAGGTGTGATGTGGTTACATCACAGGTAAAAGGAGCATTCCAACATTTTGCAGCAGCATGACGCTGACACTAACATCCAGAAGGTGACATTACTTACAATACTACAGTAGTATTTGTTCAAGTATAATATGTAAAATTAAATCCATAAAATCATCCATAAAGTTGGGGGGTAGTACTATACTCGGATAAATATTTTTACTTATGTATTTTAACTGAAATATCAGCTTCATTCACAAAATGCCTGAGTCCTTAAATGAGACTGCGTCGTAAAAATCAGTTGAAACAAGCTTACCTCTGACACTCCTCTGTGCTTCAGAGCGAGATAATAACAGATCCAGGCAGGAGACATGATGTGAAAAAAGTGGGGGAAAGCAGTCCTGCACCTTAGTAATGATAACAAACTACTGACATTAGCGTGTGACCGGGCCGCTCCTTGAACAACAACAAACACATGTTCATCTGTAAYGGCTGCCGTCGACCGGTGCTCTGAAAAAGTTTGTATCCCTGAAAAATGTTTCTCCACCACAGGGGGCGCTCACGAGTAGGAAGTAATCTGCTTTTCCCCCACAAGATGGCCCAAATCTCACGTGAAGTCTCTGACTTTTGTGTTGGCGCCTCCTGGTGGACTATGTGTAAAATGCCAGAATTCATATGATGCTGCTACAGCTGATATATATTTGTTGTCAAAATACCTTTTAGTACATATGTTGTTAAAAATCTTGGAAGTCTGTATGAAATTGGAGGTAGTTTGAGGATTAAATTTTTTATGCTTTTTAAACTCAAAAAGTGGGGGGGGTCGTATTAAACATGAGATCGTATTATACATGAATAAATACGGTAATCTGGCTGAGTTGTAATGAAGGCATAGATCTGTTTGAAACAAATAATAAAACAATATTATCTTTTAGGAAATCATGACAACAAAGTACGAGATGTCGAAGCTGGAGTGAGGCGAGACACGTCCGGGCGATTGTGGAAGAACAGCAGCTGCCCCCGACTCAGGAGAGGGGTTCTGTTCGATTTCTAAGCGGACTTTTGCAGAGTGCCATTTTTCTTTTTATTTATTTATTTTCCTCCCCACCGTTCAAGGTTTGCTCCTGAATGGCTGCCTCTTCACAGGATGGTGCAGGCAGAAGTTTTACGGGACCTTAACACGAATTTCCCTCAGTTTCTTCTTATATGTCAGGAAACAAACACATTTCACTGACCAACAGSTTCACGGTTTCAGATGTTTGACCAGTTTTGATCTTTCCAAAGAGACTATTTCTTCTTATGTTGTGTATTTATTTTTATTTGTTAAATTATTTTACTGACAATGTAACAAGAAGTCACGTGTAAAAACATCTCAGTATCAACATCACTGAGGAGTTTTAACATAAAAAAACACAAAAAGCCCATTTCTTCACTTTATATTTCAAGTTTTGCTTCCAGAATTTAATGTAATTTAATTCAGTCCATTTCTCAATCCATATATATA